GTTTCTCCATCCTGCGTCGCTCAGCCCGGGGGGGGGGCTGAAGTTCCCCAAATTCGTGCCGTCCTGCTCCAGCAGCGAGGTGGGTGTGTTGCAGGCGCTGCCTGCCAGCCCTCTCCCCGGGGAGGCTGCGCAGCGTACGCACCAGCAGCCCCATTACCTGCCCGCTGAAAAATGTTGTTCAACTTGTGCACGGAAAGAGGCAGGCTGAGAGCAAGCTTGTCCCACACCGAGGGGAAGCTGGGAGAGGCTCCCGCTGGCTTTTAAGCAGCACCTCGTTAATTTTTTAAATGCACCAGTGTCAAATTAACACACACACACACACACAAAAAAAAAAAAGAGCAGCGTGACTTCCAAGTGCAGGTTTCGGAGCTGCATTTCGTTTCCCTTTAATAAGATCATAGCGTTTGCTCGGCGGGGGGGGGGGGGCCGTGATGGGGAGCATCGCCAAGGACGGGCGCTGGCGCCGGGGAGCGGTCCTGCTCTCACCTCTGGTGACTCCGGAGTGCAGGCAGGGAGCTGGCAGAGCCCCTGCCCGGGATCTGTGCTTTGGGGTGCTCCCCCGAGCCCCCCTATTTAATATCAAGGATCTGCTGGAGAAAACGCTCCAAAAATCCGTTCAGCTGTAGCGAAGCCAGGGGTGATCAAGCTGCTCTTGTCCAACAGAGGGAGGGAGGCCGCCGAACTCCAGCTATTTGTTTATTCACGTGTGAAGCCGCAGCACAAAATCTGGCTCTCCCTCCTTCCCCTGCTGGTGCTGGGGCCGGTCACTGTGCACCGAAGCGAAGGGCACTGCGGGCTCCCTGCTTGGCCTAGCACCCACAAAGAAAAATACTACTTTGTGTTTAAAACAAAAATAGAAGTTCCCAGGTGGGGGAGTCTCGTCACCCCACTGCAGTGAAGCCAAGCAGCCCTCGGGCAGCCCCCACTCGCAGCCCCACGGAGCCCCTGCTGTGAGACCCGTCCCTGTCCCCATCCGCCCCATCCCCAGCTAATGACACTGTGCGGACATCCTCGCTCCCCGGCGTTTAACGACAACCAGCTGCTGGCCCTGGCAGCGTGCGGTGCGGTTGCGGCATGCTCTAACTAACGAGGGATGCTCGATTTTTCCAGTGCTGTATCGCATTTAGAGCTTCTTGTGGGAGCTGCAGGGGCTCGGGAAGGGAAGGGGCACGGGCAGACGGATGGGGCTGGACAGGCACTGCTGCCTGCTCCTGTCATTGCCTCATCCTGCACCCTATGGGTAAGCAGAAATGGCCCATTCCTCAGCAGAAGTATTCCTCAGCCAGCATTATATGTAATAGTGGGAAACTCCGAGTGGAGTGTGGGGAGGAGATACTGCCTTTCCCTTGAAAGCTGTAACGCCGGTGCCTGAGCAATGCTGTGGAGGCATCTCCCAGGGCAATGGGAGTGCGGGGTGATGGTAAGAGCTGGGGACCCACCAGGGCAGGGCTGGGCTTCAGACCAGCAATGAGTCCTGGCGGGGATGGGGATGGGCATGGAGAACATCGAGTGAGTGGTCCAGGTGGGAGCTGGTGCGTCAGGACAAGGCAAGGCACAAGCTGAACCTCGGGCTGCCTGCATCCTGACGTGGGGCTGGGCTCATCCAGCTCCCCCATGAGGGTCCCACCACCCGGCCTAAGCCCAGCTTTCTCCTTCCTTGCAGGCTTTCGGGAGAGCGCCTTCGCCTACGCCATCGCGGCCGCCGGCGTGGTGCACGCCGTCTCCAACGCCTGCGCCCTCGGCAAGCTGCAGGCCTGCGGCTGCGACCAGAAACGCCGGGGCGATGAGGAGGCTTTTCGGCGCAAGCTGCATCGGCTCCAGCTGGAGGCCATGAACCGCGGCAAAGGCATGGTCCACGGGGTGCACATGGAGCACATGCCGGCCGAGACCCCCGGCCTCCAGGACTCCTGGGAATGGGGAGGCTGCAGCCCCGATGTGGACTATGGGGAGAAGTTTTCCAAGGATTTCCTCGATTCCCGGGAAACCTACAGGGATATCCACTCCCGCATGAGGCTGCACAACAACCGCGTGGGCCGGCAGGTGAGCTGGGCAGGGCTGCGGGGTGATGGTGGTGGGGACAGGGTCCCTGGGACACGCATGGGAGGGCTGCAAGGAGCTCGTGCTGGCTGCAGTGGGACATGTGTGCAAGGCTGGGATTGTCCTCAAGGCACCCCCTCTCCCCAGTTTGCCCAGAGCAAAGGCAATGGTGCAGCTCTGCTGGGGAGGGCACCTCCAAGCATCACTGCTGTCTCCCTACCAAGGGACACTTCCTCAGGCCACTGTCACTTGCGTGTGCTTGCGGTGGTGCTACTGGGGTGGCGTGGCAGTGAGCCCAGCTCCCACTTCTCAGGGACTGGGTGAACTGGTGTCAGGCAGCTGCGGCACAAGAGAGTTATGGTCAGGGAGGAGAATGTCCCTGGCATCATGTGAGAAGGCAGATGCTGCAATGCACTGTCCCCAGTGAGGGGACACAGCACGGGCTCTGCAGCACCCAGCTGTGGCTCTGCCTCTGGACGGGGACCTGGTGCCCCAAGGAGGCAGATGTGAGCGGGACTGAGCCAGGCAGTGGGTGCCCGTGCCAGCTGGGATGTGCAGCATCCCCTCAGGAGCAAAGGTGACAGCCCACAGCCTCGTCCCCTGGCTCCAGGGGGGAGCTGGAGCCTGCCCAGGCCAGCAGAGCAGCCTCCCCTCCATTCTCATGATGTCAGGTCTCGTTAAAGGTGCTAATTAGTAGCTTGGTCTCTCTGGAAGCTGATGTTTAAAAGCAGCCTGACATTGGAGACAAGAAGGACACAGGCAGGAGGGGCTGGGAGGATGGCTGCATTTCACTGCCTGCCTTTGCTTCCAGCAGGTGCCAGGGGGACCCTGTCCCATGGATACAGTGGGACGTTTGTTCCCGAGACCCCAACCACACGCTGGTAGGGCAGCACAGGGGGGTGGGAAGTGGCTGTGGGAATAAGTAATTAAGGATCAGAATGACACAGGGAGTATTTCCACGGGATGGCTCAGACGTGTGGCTGTGCCTCTTGCTTTGAGCATGTTTAAAGGCAGCTGGGAGATGGGGACGCGGCAGAGCAGGACCTTGATGTGTGCCCTTCCCTGGTGCTGGAGCTGAGCTTTATGGCCCTGAAAAGCCGTCCTAGTTTGGCCAAGCTGGAACTCCCTGAGGAAAGCCAGAGCTTTTTGCTTGTTTGGCTTTGTTTCCATGTGATGAAGGCTTGCTCAGCGTTAGGCAGCTAAATCCTCCACAGGCTGTTCTGCCCCAAGACAGGCGAGACCCCTGTCCCACCTCTGGCTGCAGGGCTCATCCTGTCTCCTGTCCAGCTCTGGATGCCCCGAACCACTGAGGCTCTCAGCAGTGCCCAAAAATGTTGGGTCTGCATTGCCCATTTCCCAGGGAAAGCCCCACTTGCCTCTGCAGAAGGAGGGGAAGGTGAGAGAGGCACACTTGCATGGGGGGGAGGTCACCATGTGGTGCCTTTGGGATCCAACAATTGCAAAAATGCCTGGGGTCTGCTTTTCCCAAAGTGCTGGCAGGCACGGGACTGGCGATGGCATTGTCACCTGTGGGTGGCTTCACAGATAAGAGCTGGACTGATGGAAAAAGCCTGGGAGCTGGATGCAGAGGCAGAAGAGGACTGAAGGGATAAAGGAGGGGATGGTACCAGCTGTGGGTGGGGAAGTGATGGCCAGACAGGCTGCCCAGCTCAGGGATGCTGTTGAGATGGGATGGTGTGAGCTGCGTGCGGGTTGGGTTGTGACGGTTGTGGGTGCCACTCACTGGAGCAAGGAGATGATGCTGTGCCTGGTCTGTGCCTGTTGGTGCCATGGTTATTGCCGGGGCTGGACCTGGCCATCCACATTGTGTGGGGATGGGTTCTCCACCTCCCCGTCCTGCTCTTTTAGCAATGCCATGGGTCCCACAACCGCCCAAGCCCTCCTCATTCCTAGGACCATCTTTCCCTTGTGATAAGGAGCAATCTGCTGGGATTTCCCAGGAAAGGAGTGGCTGTGCTGGATGCAGCAGCTCTGTGGTCCTGCCTTCCAAGTTCCAAGGCTTGAACCCCTTGAGCAGTGCAGTGACGTGGACACGCATGCCACATGCCATGCCCTGTCACAGGCTGTCACTCTCCATGCACCAAGCAGCTGCAGCACCCGGGGCTCTCCAGCATCTCACTGATGCTGAGCATCCTCTCTGCAGTCCCTGTGTGTCCCAAGGGTTCTCTGTGCCTGGGTAAGCCTGTCTCCCAACTCAGACCTTACAATGTTGGAGGGAGGTAACAATCCCAGCGATGGCCACATCTAGTGACCATGGGATGTGGGTTTCTGTAGTGTAGTGGTTATCACGTTCGCCTGACACGCGGAAGGTCCCTGGTTCGAAACCAGGCAGAAACACCCTGTTTTATCCTTCTTTTGCATCCAGCTACGAAGCTGGGGAGGGGATTGCAGCTGTAGGAGATGCGCAGCATCCTCTGATGGTGGCAGTGGTCACCTTGGACTTGAGTTGGAATAGGAAGCCCCAGGGCAACTGGGGGCTTCCTATTACAACTCAAGACTGAGGCAGGTGTCCTGCATCTCTGGGAGGGAGCAAGTTTCCCAGTGAGCAGCAGCAGGAGCGTGCAAGAGGCTTTGCAGGTCCTCCTAACCCGCCAGATCAGAGAGCAAGAGAGGATGAAAGGCAGCCAGGAACTACCCATTACCCTCACAACAAAGACCTATGATAAAGCTCTTATGAGCGTGTCTGGGAGGAGCTGGGAATGTGCGAAAGAAAGCACCAGCGAGTCTGGGCATGTGCTGAACTTGGGTGTCTGTGAGATGGGGGAAGGACGTGGCCTGGTAGGGGAGTATGGGGAAGACCTGATGGCAAAAGCATGGGGCCAAGGCTCAGATGGGTCTTTTGTTGGCCTCCTGGCCCTGGCAGGGTCCTGTCCTCCCTGCACTGTCCATGCAGGAGGGAGCACAAGCTCTCCCTGGGCAGGGATGGATGGGTGCTGCAGTGCTGGGGCTCAGGGTGATCACTCAGCAGTGATGGCTTGGGTGATGGAGATGACCCACACATGCCACCTTCTCCCAGCTCTGTCTTGAGTAGCCATCGACCCAAATGAGCCCCGTCCCGCTGTCACACCACTGTCCCCTCCATCCCGGTAGTGACCATCCCAGCCACAGCCCTGGAGATTTTCCCTGGTCCAGCCAAGGGAGCAGGGAAGGGTTGTGGGAAAGGTACCGGTGCCAGCGTGTTCCCGTGGATGGTGGCAAGGATGGTGGTGAGGAGCTGGTGTTCCTGACTGGCACACCCAGGGCATGGCGGAGAGGCCGGGCAGCTCATTACCTGCAAGGTGGAGGTTGTTCCCAGCAGGAGACAGGACTCTCAGCAGGATGAAAGCCAAACTCCAGCCCAGACCAGACCTCTCCGCCATGTGCCCCGAGCTCCAGGCATGTTTCCCTGACCTGTCTTCATTACCATAACTGCTTAGCAACGGGGAGATTTACTCAAAAACAAAAAAACAAGGAGTAAAAACTACCCACCCCTACCAAAACAAGGCACTCCTCGCACAAACGTCCTCCCCAGGGAGGGGGCAGGAGCAGGCGATGCGTGTCAGGCATGAAGCCGGCTGGCCAGGCAGGGGTGGCATCGTGGGATGGGACCTTGCACAGGGCCATGTGTCCCCTGGGCTCACCCCAAGTCCTGGATCCCTGGGTGGGGGGATCAGCCTGTGACAGTCTTTGCAAGCCCCAGCCTGGCACTCGGCAGGGCTTGGGAAGAGGATTTGTTGGGGCCTGTGCAAGCATGTGGGCATGGGGACGTGCGACCCAGCAGGGAATCTCTGTTGGGACAGAGCAGAGGATGGTATAAACTGGCTCTTTCCAGGCTGTGTGGGGGTGTGCAGCCACCCCGTGCCCCTGGAGATTGCTGAGCCTGAGCTGTTTCCCTTGGCACAGCCACAGCAGCATCCCTTGCCAGGATGGGGGACCCCAGCACACAGCCTCGGGGCTCAGCAGCATTTCCCAGGGAGCCCAAGGTCCTCCTTGCCCCTGTAGTAGCCTCTGGCCTCTGCACGAGCCGCACTCCCCAGCCAGCCCAAACCACAGCCACAGCCCAGCCCACGCACCCTGGCCCTCATGGGAGGTGGACATGTGGCATTGGCCTCTCTGTGGCCTCCCCAAACCACAAGTCAGGCCTGCGAACATCTCTGATCCTTGCTTGAAATTCGGGTGATGGTGGGATGCCCAGAGCTCCCGCCAGAAAGCAGGCAAGAGCTGTAAGCGGAGCTGCTCCCAGGACTCCTGGTGCCAGGGCTTTACAGGAGGAAAGCCCTGGGAAGGGGAAAGCATCCCTCCCACCTGCCCAGCTTGCCAGTGAGATGCCTCTGGGACCTTTGCAGTGGGAGGTCCTGGTAGGGCTGCAAGGATGCAGCCACACTGGCTTTAAACTGAAGTCCATGGTCAGGTTGGTGCTGCTGGAGCCAAGCGGCAGTGGAAGGTGAGATCCAGGCTCCTCCTCCCCATGGTCGGGTAGCTCACCCTCTCCTTTAGGTGCTGATCTCTTGCGGGAGGGTAAAAGCCAGTAGGTACTGCCAGGATGGGAAGGGACAGGGTGCGGGACATGGGTGACACTGGGCACAACAACAGGGTGCAGCCTCCCTGGCTTGGCAGTGCCAGCACTCCGATGGCTGCTCGTGCCAGCCTGTGGTGTTCCCATAGTGCCAACCCACAGAGGGCTCCACGATGCCTTCTCCAGTCCCCCCCCAAAAAACATCTTTTCCACGCTAACCCCTCTGTCCTTCCCTCCCTGCCCAGGTGGTGATGGACAACATGAGGAGGAAGTGCAAATGCCACGGCACCTCAGGGAGCTGCCAGCTGAAGACGTGCTGGCAGGTGACACCCGAGTTTCGCCTGGTGGGGTCCCTGCTCAAGGACCGCTTCTACGGGGCCACCCTCATCCGGCCCCACAACCGCAACGCCGGGCAGCTGGAGCCGGGCCACGCTCGGCATCGCCGCCGGGCCGGCATCAGCGAGCTGGTTTACTTTGAGAAGTCGCCTGACTTCTGCGAGCGGGAACCAGCCCTGGACTCCTTGGGCACCCAAGGGCGCCTGTGCAACAAGACCAGCCCGGGCATGGACAACTGCGAGAGCCTGTGCTGCGGCCGCGGGCACAACATCCTGCGGCAGACGCGCAGCGAGCGCTGCAACTGCAAGTTCCACTGGTGCTGCTTCGTGGCCTGCGAGGAGTGTCGCATCACCGAGTGGGTCAGCGTCTGCAAGTAGCTGGGCAGGGATGGGTGCCCACCCCAGGGTGCCAGGGACAAGCACGCCTGCCCGCTGCTGGGGGGGGGAGGGAGACGGGAATCGGCGCTGGGCTTTGGGGTGGGGGGAGATGGAGCCGCGGTACCCGCTTCCCTCCGCTCCGAAGGGGGAGCGGGAGAGGAGATGCTCGGCACCCTCCGAAATCAGCACTTTGTCGTCACCCGGGGAAGGGCAGGGCTGCCCCGCTGCCTGCTGCCCACCCGGCCCCACACCAGAGCACCCAGGCTCCCGGCCCCAGGGAGCACATGGCCATGCTGTACAGACCGCCGACACCAGCACCGCTCACACACACACACACACACACACACACATACTGGCACCGTGCACAGGTTCCTCTGGCCATGTGCGAGGCTGTGCTCTGAGCGGGATGGGGATGGAGCATCCCGTGGGATGGAGAGGGGGGCACAGCTCCCTGGGCTGGGGCTCACCTCTGCCAGGGCAGAGCTTGGGCTGCAGCGTTGTGGCCGGAGGGGAGGGTGCCCAGGGCAGTGCTGTGCGTGCCTGTGTTATTGTATGGTAAGTTATTTTCTGATTGTGAATAAAAGTGGATTGGAGACAGCGTGGGGTATTTCAGGGTGCTGCACCCTGCTTTTCCTGCTGACTTGGGGCTCTCCGCTCCTGGAGGGTGCCAGAAGGATGGAGGGGGACCCTGGCTACTGCCTGCCCACTTGTGCAAGACTTTCTCCCCAGTGCTCTGCTGCCATCCCATCATAACAGCCCTGGAAGCTGTTTGCAGAACTTCCAGGAGGTTGGGACCCCCGGTGGGCACCCCAAGCCCTTGCAAGGTGGCTGCTGGGAGGCTCCTGCCCAGCTGGACGCGCGCTGGACCCCGTCCACCCTGTGGGAATTCTGGCTGTTGGCCCCATGCCCATGGCCCTGCTGGGGCTGGGGGTTGCCACACCGCTCCCCAGGCTCCTGGGGAGGGATGGTGGGGCTGGAGAGCTGGGAGAGGGGAAGAGAGCAAGGACAGGACAAGCAACAGGGGGTCCGCTAAACGGCACCTCGCTGCGGTGGCAGGGAGGGCACCCATGCGGCTGCGGCAGCCTGCGGGGGCCAGGCAGTGAATCATGCTGCTGGTATCTCCTGGCTTGATAACTTCCCCGCTCCTCCCACGGCTGCGTGCTCCTTGGGGCTACACAAAAAAAAAAAAAAAAAAAAAAAAAAAAAAAGAAAAAATCAAGGAGGAAAATACCAGGCTGGAAGGAAGCGAACGCCCCGGGCCCAGCGGGGAGCAGCCCGTGTCCTCGTTTCATAACGGCTCCCGCAGGCAGCGGGGAGCTGGGTCAGCTGGGACGGATGCTCTGCCCTTCACCACCCCCCTGGGTGAGGGGGCTGGCTTTGCTCCTCCAGGGGGAAACCGGGTGGATGTGGTCCTTGCCCCTGGTGCCAGTTGTGTTTTAGGGGCTGAGGAGAAGGGGAGGGTGATAGAGAGAAGCATGGGAGCTCCTGTGACCTTGTGGCACCTGCGTGGCTCCGTCTGCCGACGCAGCAGGGACAGCAGGGCACCCAGCTGCTGCGGTGGCTCCCGGCAGCAAAGACCTGGGGCTGGTGACCTCACAGGGATGGGATCTCTGCTTGGGGCTCAGGGCACCCGGGGTCCCCCTGTGTGGCATCAAAGTGTTCCCATGGAGTGAGTTTGCTCTGGCAGGGCATGCCCCCGGCAGTTCATTTTCCCTCCTGAGGTCCTGCTTTTTCATCTCCATCTCCAACATCTTTTTTTCAAATCCCCAAGCCCTGTGCCTTTCACCCTTTGCCCCAAGCACTAGTCGGACTCCCTGATGTCCCCCGGCCACCCCATCTCCCCCCCTCCCTCCCAAGCTGGCCAAGCCCCCGTGTTCCCAGGGCTGTGCTGCCCAGGGCAGAGGGGCTCTGCACATCCATCATGCTTCAGCACTTTGTAGGTGGCGTTGGCTTCCCACCTCCCAGGGGCTGCTTTGCAGGCGCCTGTGATCTCGGGGCTGCCTGGGGTGATGACTGACTCACCACAGAGCTCTCCCCCCACCCCACCAGCCCCTTCGCTCCCCTGCTTGCTAATCCCAGGCCACCTGCACTGCGGCAGCTAGATCCCAGCATATGGCTCCCCTGGCCGGGCAGAGCTGGGGAGGGGACCAGAGTGGGGACAAGGTGCATTTGATGATGCAGAGAGAGGACGTCGGGGCAGGGCTGGTTCCCTCCAAGCTCATCTCACGTTTCCCTGCTTAGGACCAGGCTCTGAGCATCCTGGGGCTGCAAAGACTGCAGCTTGCTGGAGAGCCCCCCCCATTTCGGGAAGGTAGCGTTATGAAAGGGCACACCAGTAATGCCAGCAGAGCCAGGGTGAGACTCCCAGAACAGCCTGGCCACCAAACCTGGCAAGCCACAGTGCTCGGTGCTGTTTGGTTCTGCAGAGACCCCATCTGAGCTTGGGACCCTGGGACATTGAGGGGAAAGAAACCAAGATCCCTTGGTCTTGATGGGTCTGCGGGTGGCATGTCCAGGAGTGCAAGCGCTGTGGTGTAGGGGTGCTTTGGGCTGCAGGCAGCGTGCTGTGGGTGCAGGCAGCGTGCTGCGGGTGCAGGCAACTCCAGGGCACAGGCTTGCTGGTTGCAGGAGCTCATCCTCTCCTGGGGCCAGCTGGCTCCCAACGCAATACCAACCTTCGAGATCTGCTCTGTGGCTTCCCTCGCTGAGTGTCTGGGAGCCACAGGCAAGACGCCAGTATGCCTGTGGTTACAAAAACAGTGTCCCCATGCTTCCCTAACTGGGAACTAGCCGCTGGGCAGCCATCCTAACAACTGCACTGCTGGGCACAGAGAGCATGCAGGACACCTCCTCTCCCCACGGCCACTGCTGAGCTACCAGAGCCAGTTACCAGTGAGGGCTTGGCTCCCCAGGGTCTGGGTATCCCAGACTTCTCCTCTTCCATGACTCTGAGTGCAGCCTCCCTGATCCACAGATGGGATCTGTCCCAGTCCCACCAAAGAGCCGTGTTTCCTCACATGGAGGGACTATCTGAGCCTTCTGAGCTGCTCCAGCCTTGAACCTTCTGGTGCATGGCCCCCCTATCCCACGAGGGACACTTCCACCCTGCAGGGTACCACGCACGGGGCTGGGCTGAAATGGGAAGGTTCAAGGTGCTTTGCTCAAAACAGAGGAATTCCCATCAGAGTGGAAGAAGCCAGGCAGAGAATGAAGGTGCATTTTCAGCAGAGGGGACCAGATTTTCCCAACATTCTCCTGTCATCTCCCTGCAGGGGCAAATCGCTAAGGAAGTTCCAAAACTGAAAAATAAATGGCGATTTCTTTCACGCGCATGTCATGAAAAGGGCAGTGAAGGCTTCTAAAGAGGGCAGCAAGTCCATGCTGGCAGAACCAAGGGGAACTTAGTCCAGTTTCATTAGGTGTTTTGGCCCAAGCTCTCGAGATTCCTCCATGCCTGAGTGTTTGTGCTAACTCGGTGGCTCTGCTAGGGTCATGTCAAGTCCAGTGGCTTTCTCAAAGTCTGAACTTGCCAGTCGCAGGAGCCGGAGAGCTTCTCGGCTCCTTCCAGCAAACCAAAAGTAAATCTCACTTCTTGCCCCTGCGGTTGTGGAGAGGGATGGGGAAACCTGACCTGAGTGTGACCGCTGAAAAGGCTATAGAGAGACTTGAGCTGGCCTGATTGGTTTGAACTTCTGCCAGGTCTGAAGCCAGATGTGTGGCTGTCCAGATGTGGATAACCCAGGCTGGAGCTCTTTCAGACCCTGGCCTTGTGCCCATCACCAGACACAGCGTGGAAGAGCCAAGGGGACAGTGGATTCCCTCCAGCATGGCAGGTCGCTCTGGTCCTTTCTCCTCTCACCCAAAGCCCTAGCTCATCTCCTGCTTCTGGAAAGCTCCAGCAAGGGTGGGGAAGGTCTCTGGGGGTGGCAGGGGGGGAGTGGGGGGGCTGGGACTTTCCCCAGGAGATCACAGGAGGAACTTTGGCTGGAGGGTGGGGGGAACCGGTGAGGAGTTGCTACATCATGCCCCAATGAGCCGTGAGTAACTCCTCTGGTATTTCTTCCCCGCGCAGAACAGTCATCAGAGCCAGATCCTGCCCGGGGGAATCGCTACTCGGGAACGCCCAGCCCCATCCAAATTCCATTCCTGCTCCCATCAGAGCCAACATGAAGCAGAGCCACAAGGGGACAGTTCTCTGGTACCCCCCATCCCATCCACTGGGATGGCATGAGCATGGCCATGGGCAGGGCTGGCAGGGCCGGCTGGCAGAGCCTGGTGGACTGTTGACCCAAAAAAGCAGCCAGATGCACCTGGGCTACTGGAAGTCACTGGAGAATAGTCTCACTGAATCTGCTGGTCCAAGGGGAGCATAGGGCAGACCCTTCCTTGCCTCGGTCTGGGCAACTCGCCTCCATGCTTCCTCTCGTTGAGAAGCAGGTGGCCACGGCTTGAGACCCTTACCGAGAGCCTGGCTGGCACCATGCTGCAACCTGAGCTGCAGAGAGGTGCTCCGAGGCTTTCCTGAAGTTCAGTCCCAACATGTCATGCTTGGCACCAGTACCCGTGCAACCCCCCGAAAAAGAAAAAAGTTTGGCCCTAACTGACCTGCTTGGCAAGGCGAAGTACCTACAGCAAGGCAGCAGCTGGCTCAGGAGAGGAGCCCGGGAGTCCTTTGCTCCCCCTGCCAGGCCCAGCTCCTGCCCACCACCCCTGGCACAGCATGCTGGTGGCATTGCCCCCCATGATGAGGGTGGGTCACCTACCTGGTGAGGAGGCTGTAGCCACCACTGTGTTGAGCTTGTTTAGTGACCAGACATGCCGGCAGCAGGTTGACTCTGTAGGAGCACCCCAACTCTCTGAGAAAACTGTGGCCTCCTTGCTCACCCACAGTGGCATTGGTCCTTGGCGCTCCATGGCTGGGTGCCCCTGGACATGGGGCTGCAATGCGTCTGCAGAAGGGACAGCAGTGTCTGGAAATTTGTGGGCTGTAGAGATGGAGAACAGAAGGAGGGCTTGGGCTGAAGGCTATGATGGAGTCAGGGCAGCTC